GTATTTCTTTGTAGTCAGTACACTGAAAAAAAAAATATAGTTATTAATATTAATTTTAATAAACATTTAGTTCAATACTGTCAACTGAACATTTACTTACAGTAAGTAAATATTTGTTCAATAAAAAAAAATTGTTAAATCAAATTAACATTTCTTTTATCAAATAAATATAAACTTAAAAATTAATAAATATTTAGTTGGCAGTATTCAACTAAATATTTATTAAAATTGATTATATTTTTTTTCAGTATAGAAACACTATTGTTATAGGAATCGCACTCCGTTTGCGGAATGATAGATGTAAATATAGGTCGCTATTTTTTCTTTGGACAATTAATTATAACCTTTAAATGTGCTCTTCTCTGTTGCGTTTCTCTGTTATATCTAGGACTCTAGTTTAAACACGCTTGACGGTCACACGCGTTGCACATAGTTACGTAAAACGACATCTATGACGCGGATGATGCACGTGACGTACACGACACGTAACTTGATCTACTTCCGGGAATCTGGCGTAATCATAGATCGAGCGTTATTATAGGTATCATGTTCTTTCGTGTCGATTAAACGCGATGAAAGTCTCTTCCTCTATACGAGCGGAATTAAATTTACCGCTGATTGTATATTACTGCGACATGCCAAGTGTCATTAATGAGGATTATCACGGATTATCCGATTTGCTTCTGGCAGAAAACGCGATCGCGTCGCGTCATTTTCGATCGGCTAACTGTGCAATCGAGCCGCGCTTTCATTTTTATGGTTACGACACGACGCGTCGCGATAGGATAACAGTCTTATACATGCTTTGCGTCACGTCCGTCACGATGTCAGGACGCGAGCGGGCGGGCAAAGCGAATGAGCGAATGAGCGAACGAAGGAGCGTACGAAGGAGGTACAATCGCGTGCGCGATGCTAAAGGTGATGTGAAACTCGAGACGAAGCGGGTAGATGCCGAAATGCAGAGCGAGAGGAAGAAACGGGAGGCGAGGTATGAGCGGATAGACGTCACGTTCGTAAATCTATCCGAGAAGGATACTGAAATGCGGGGGACAGCGCGGCCGGGGAGGAGGGTGGAAAAGCGAAAAACGAAAGGTATAACACGTGTTTGCCATTCGCTTAACCTCCTCCTTAGTGGATTACGGATCCGGTGCATTCCGTTGCATGCGCGCACTCTTTTCCACGCTCGCATTATTTATATTAGCGAGCGAAGACGTACTCATGGCATCGCATAGCACGAGCGGACTACATTTTATTTTCTCTCTCTCTCTCTCTCTCGCTCTCTCTCTCTCTCTCTCTCTCTCTCTCTCGCTCGAAGAAAAAGAAGAAGAAGAAGAAGAAGGAGGCTCGTGGAAGTCGGGCGAACTTTCAGCGCACGATTTAAAGTGTTGGATAATATCCGAGCATCAGATTGCTGCTTCTCGTCTTGATGAAATGAACTGCAATTTGTTCACGAAATATTGACATTCTAATAATGGATCTCAATTATCTCAGAAGCCTCAAAAGCATTATCATCGATATAATCGTTATAATTGTACAGGTTGTTACGATACAAAAAGCATACGTAGTAATTGACATAAATAATAGCTAATCAATATTTTTTATTTGTTACTGTTCACATTATTGTCTTATAATCTCCTTTACTGTGATTTGATTTACTGTGATTCCCTCATTGCTTACGTCTTATTGCTTTACGTTTTTCTGTGTACTGTAACTCTTATCATTACGCCAAGTATCGCTCGAGGACAGTTTGTGGATTGCGACTATTACCGTCTTCTCGAGTACATACGTTCGCTTTCGTCTTCTTCGAGTACACATGTTCGCTTTCCAAATGATATTTATGCATGCTTTATAAAGTGCCCTCTGATCTAGATAAATGTTAAACATTATTTAGCACAATATTATTATATAATTATTTTATATGATATTATTGATGATTTCATTCACAAAAAAAAGAATCTGATATAAATGGCTGTCAAATGTGAAATAATTTTAATCAAATGTTCGGTTACCAAATAATATTAATTAATAAATATTACCAAGTAATATTTAGAAAAGTAAAATTATATTTTGGTTATAACTGAATATTTGATTGAGATTATTTTACTCAATATTTGGTAGTTATTGTCGGATTCTTTTTTCAGTATATTTAAATGATTCAAAACAAATAATTTAGAGACTGTAATACAGTCTCCAGACAATCAATAATATTGCGCAATATCAAATATTATAATAATATTGATAGTCTAACGACTGCTTTAAGCTTTGCCGTTAATTAGAGTTTACGCTTCTTTGGTTCATGTACATGGACGTACGGCGTGCATATATATACATGCACAGACACGCATATGTAGACAAAGGGGAGAAATTTATTTTGCCCGCTGGCAACTGGCAAAAGTTGTACGCGCGGATGAGTTGCGAGCACGTCGCGCGAAACGTTATTAATTCTCAACTTGAGCTCCGCGCGTTAAGTCACGATCATTCATATACAAAGTCATGATAATAACGATCGCTGAAAGTGATTGCACTTGTCGAGAAAACTCGATTTATATTAACACGCATGGACGCCTGAGAAAGCCACCCCGGATGATGAGAGAAACGGAGGAAAAGCCGAAGGAGTCATCATTATTGAGGAGAGAGAGAGAGAGAGAGAAAGAAAAGAGACCTAATACGCTTCACCTTACCACGCTATGCCGCGTGACTCGCATATTTTCGATGCGGTAGCTTGTGTCGTGGCTCTCTCGGACTCCTAGTTACTTAGGGCCGCGACTTTGCGCTTAGAACGACTTAGCGCACGCAGTGCAATGACCTCGTGCAAAACGGGCCTCTCTCCATTTCCCTTTCTCTAACTCACATATGACCGAGTTCTCTCTCGCTCTCTCTCTCTCTCTCTCTCTCTCTCTCTCTCTCTCTCTCTCTCATTGCGAATAGTTTTTGAGTAGCTTAGAGGGGTATGATCATGAAAATTCCGCCAATATATTTTTCAACATTGTCTATCTCTTTGTTTTTTTCCTTGTTATTACGCACACACATGTCTAAATAGTAAATATTTATTTTTTTACTCGATATATTAGAGCAATAATAATAAAGTAAAGATTGTTTCATCTTCTTAAAAGGTGTATACACTGATAGAAACGTTATGTGATTAAATCAACAAAAGAGATGTTGACTAGAAATTCTATTTGGTCTCACCAAAATACTATTCTTGTTGAGTTCTTTTGTTGGTTTAATCAGAATATTTTTCTCAGGGTAAGAAATAATTGTTGATTTTTTCTTTTATAATATTAAGAGAGAAATATATACATTCATCAGTCCAAAGATTGCAACACTTTTTTTCAATTTCGGAACTCAGCCTTGCCTCGTAGAGCGGTAGAATGTAAATAGTCAGATCCATGAATAAGAACCAATCGCTCGTGAGTGAACTACATTTCAAAACTTTCAAAAAGAAAAAAAAAAGTGTCTCGAACGTCAATTTTGGATTGCGCGTAGAACTATGGGTTAAGAAAAAAGGCGGTACTTACTGTAATTAGTCATTACAGGATAATAAAGACGCCGCGATATGCATGTGTAATACAAACGCAAGCTATTCTCATTGTATTATTCTCGGGCGTTCCACGCCCTTTATTTTTACACATAGAAAAGAAAGGATAACTGACGGAAAATAATTATATTGCTAATAGCAGCTTGCAATCTTACTCTTTTCTTTTCTTTCTATCATATGAAGATGAATCTAATGAAATATCAAGCTAAAAAAAAAAACTTAAGAAAAAGATGTTGTTATCGATTTAATGGAGCGTATTGTTACGTGTTTTGCCACTGGCTATCGCCAGCTTGTTGTAAAAGATAACGGTCTCGTCTTTATCTCTTTTCTCTTTGGGATTTATGTCTTACGCTGTAAAAATCCGGCAATCCGGATTCGAAGCGGCGAACCGGGGAGACTCATCCGTTTTGTCACCGATCGGCCAGCTGCACAGAAAGAAAAAATTTGCTATGAACGCTAAGCCTATGTCATGACAGCAAATTCAGTTGGCTAATATAAAGATCGCAAAATTATTTGCTGGTATAACAAATATTCTTTTTTGTACTTGCTACAAAAATTATTTGCAACAAATATAAAACAGTTGTCAAACATGCAAATTTATTTGCTACAAACAGCAAATAAATTTTATTTGATAAATAAATTTTGCAATTCCTTTTGCGTTGGTAGCAAATTTTTTTTCTCTTTGGTTCAACAATACGTTTGTAATTTGCAAACAAGAGCCCGAGTTTTACATCGAGAATGACTGATGCGTCGATCATCGCGTCTCGGTGATGTCTCTATATGACGCGACGCGACGCGACGCGATGATTTGAATGAACGCGCGACGCATAATATCGGTGAATGCGAATGAATATGCACGCGGATCAATGTATGTACATACCGAGCGTGTTACGTTATATTCGCATCAAATTGCGTCTCATTCATCGATGATGACAGCGGAAGTGCGTCAGTGCGATGAGTTGTGTTTTGCGTTTAAAATATACCTTTTTTTTTATATGACTATATCATACTTTCAACAGAAAAAGCAGCTTTGCAACTGTGAGATTTTTTAATACGATTGGTTTTTATTCTTAGTTTCTCTCACCGAGTCTAAATATATAAACCAATCATATTAAAGAATTTTACATGTGTGTGTGTGTGTGTGTGTGTGTGTGTGTGTGTGTGTGTGTATAGGATAAAAAGAATGAATCAAGTTTTCTTCTTGGCACGTAATATTGCAGGTAATAAAAATTCTGTTCTTTTTTTTATTAAAGAATCCTCAAAATAGAAAATATTTTTGCTTTTTCTGCTGAACGTTTAGCCAATGTCTTCTCGATGTCCGTGAAATACAATTTTTGTAGCGTAATATCAGTAATCGATAAGATGAGAAATCATAAATCGGATAAGATGATGTTTATATTTACATCGCTAATGTTATTTGATGGTAATACTCACGTCGCGATGATTTTTCCTTTCTTTTCAGAATGCACTTTCGGCAAGCAGATTCGCGAATTGGGCTCGACATGGTTCGCGGACTTGGGACCTCCCTTCGGAATCATGTATTGCATCAAATGCGAGTGCATACCGGTACGTGTGTATTATATTATAATCCTTTTTATTTCTATTTAAAAAAAAAATAATAATACCTAATATAAACTCGTTACAGTCCGTATTAAAATGTGTCGTATGTCACGCGTTCAGCGTTCGGCGTAGTGTTTAGTAAACAATCAGTACCACACCAGCATTTATTAACATATATGAATAAAGAGCGACGCGTATCCTCTCTCTATCCTTTGCCTTCGAATTTATTGTCAAGAAACATGCTATAATCACATCCTAAGTACTTATTACGACTTTACGTTCACGACGTCGTAATTTTTTTTCTCCTTTTTTAAATTCAAGTCACATCGATGTTTACCGAGTTATGGTATGTTCGAGTGTTATAAAATGGAGAGAGGATAAATTTCTATCGCGAGATAAATTCAACGCAGCGGGTTCGTGGATCGCGTACATTCTTGCGATTACGGTGTTGGGTGCCCTCCGTTTTGTTGCGCGCGGCGTATAATTTAACTTACTCTTATGCCTATAAATGCCATGCTATTGACACAAAGGTTTTGACGTATCAAATGTCGAGACGCCGAATCCGAAACATCACTCGGCGAGCGAGGCGCAGGTGTCCGAGTGATTCGACGGCAGTTGGTTCGCCGACGTGCATCACGAAATACGCACGGATACTTATATATTTATTCGAGATCGCGCAATAATCGTCATTTATATTCCGATTGTACGCATACCTTCTCTTCCCCCTCCCCTTCTTCTCGACTCCGTGACAACGCAACGAATAATCTCGATGCGTAATTCACCGAATTCTTACATGCAATAAACAATGAAACGCTATTGCTCATCCTGTGACGTAATCATATTAATATTCGTGTTGGCCGGGTGTTACATCGTTTGTAAACACGCCGAGAAAACATTTGTTACGCGCATTACGATCGCACGTTAAGCACGACAAGACTGTAGCGCGATGTGACTTCTTGCGATGTGCACTTGTAACTTTCTTTCCTCATGCAGTATATTTCATTAGCATTCGCCAATTTTTTTTCACGCCTTATCGCTGTTTAATATACGCCTAAAGAAATTCCGCGTAATAATATTCTCTCCTAAGGTACCTTATATTCTTGAATATATTATTTCTATCCATTTTATCAGCAGTGTGAAATTTTCACCCTTTATTTTGGTTCTTTGAACTTCAGTGCAGATTTTTATATTGTTTCGGATTGTATAAAAATCTGAAAAAATTCTTACATATCATTGTGAGAGCTTTATACAACATTAAATTTTTATGAAGTTGGATTTTATTTTATTTGTTTATTACAGATTTATATTTATCTATCAGAATTTTTACAGTCAAAAATCGTCTTAGTCTAACATTTCTGGCGAAAAATGGCTACACTAAAAAAAAATTATGAACTTGATTAAATTAATTCCTTTTTATTCCTTTCATTAGAGAATGTATGTATTTAGATTAAATATAATATACTTAATATATTTAAAAACACGTATTCTTTGTCGGAAGAAATAAAGACGAACTAAATTAATTTAGTTAAACAATTTTTTCTCAATATGTATGTATTTTTTTCTATAGAAAATTTTGCATTCGTATATTTTTAAATGCATTCGTACGTTACATTAAATGAAAGATATTTGGCTCAACTCTTGAGTATGTTTTAATCGTTGTTGATCGCGAGGCTCGAATCTGCCATCCGGTCGTTATGAGAATTTCGAGCGCGCCGAATCGTTAAATCTTAATGTGTAAATGTTGCGGAATTTATGCGTGTACTAAACGACGATAAAACACGCGATAAGTAATCGGTGTAAATGCTAATGAGACGCTATCTGATGAGTTTACTGAGAAGAGAAAATTAATTATACGATCGTACAGAAGGAATGGTGTACGATCATTACGTACGACGCCATTAAAATCACCAGTACGGTCAGATCATTAGAGGCCGCGGAGTTCTAATCTTTCTCGTAATGTGGCAATAACAGGTATGATTATGATCAAGGCGATAAAACATTTTGACCGAAGCAATTCGACGAAACGCGTAAAGTCGATTCCGTCGAGTTTCAAGTTAAATTTTGCGAAGCGCTTCGATAGCTGCGCGCGCGAGATACTCTCGCTACGAAAAATTGCTTAAAAATTTTTCGTTCTTGGAAAATATTACGATCGACTGAAAAGATGGATGGAATCGAGACGGAAGAGAAGACGGGAGACGCGGCGGCGCGCTGTTATGTTCGGCTCGTGAACGAAGAGCGCGAGAGCGCGGACCTCTATTTTTAGACTTCGGAGGAATGACAGTCCCTCTTCAGTGTACATGAGGAGCTATTGATAGGTCGCGGTCTTGCTTGGTGGAAGAAGCAGACGCGTCGCGTGAATCACACGTCGCTGCGAGAGAGAAGAAGCCATGTCTCTTCACCTAAAGTCATCACGGGAGCGATGTCGCGTCTTGTCGGACATTGGACACTTGTCGGGATACCCATCGAGTACGGCTCGCCATTTACTTAAAGAGTAGCCTGTTAATGATCGCCTTTGGGAATTTTATGTATCGTTATATACTCAGCGGAGATGAAAATGATAAAAGTGAGCAAAATCGCTAGGGTCTAAAGTTAGAAATATTCTATACAATTCATTTATTCTTGTTTAATTTTTATCAAGTCGTGTGATACACAATCGGACCCCTGCTTATACCATTTTCTCTCGTTGAATCGATCGTGTTGAACGTGCGTCGTTTCACGCTTCAGGAATTCCGTGCGCGCGCGCCGCTCTATAAAACCACCGACTTAATTCTTCTCCGTAACTGGAACCACGCGACTCGCGGCCGCACTTTTAGTAACTGCGTCGCATTGCCGCGTTGCCTTCGCCTCGTAAACATTCTTTCCATTGTCATGCCAGAAGGCAACCAAAAATTAAGTCTGAGATACAATTGAAAAACACAGGCAATAGGAATAATAAGTTTCAACTTATTAGAAACCGTGTATTCTGGCATGTAAGTTGAAATCTATTATTTCCTGTTCCTATTATCTTCTTTTTTTTGAATTGTGTCTTAGACTTACCGCGAGGAAAGCAGATATAAAGATGAAGTAAGACGGCGGGAAATTTGTGCGAAGAGAATTCCGAAAAATTTGCCCAAGGTCGTCTCGTGCGTCTGCGAGAAGAAGAAATTTCGAAATAATCATAATATAACGTATATTTGTTCTTATTTTTATGTCTTTTAGGTGCAAAAGAAACGGCGGATCATCGCGAGAGTTCAATGCCGCAATATCAAGAATGAATGCCCGAAACTCACGTGTGACGAACCAGTTCTACTCCCAGGGCGATGCTGCAAATCCTGTCCTGGTGACTTCAGTAAGTTACGCAACACTTGTCCGTATTATTTTTCACCTCGCTGCGATTATTTCCGGTTAATCTCTTTTTTTCCGATGGTCAAAAGCGTGGGAATGATGAGATAAGCCGAGATAAAATTTTTATGCAATCTTCAACTATACATATACATATACACACAATATATTGATCTATATTGTTCTTCCCTCGATTCATTATCTATAAAGGAGATTGGGAGACTATGATTCTCGAGTATCTTGGCTATGCGATTTACTTCATCCGCATTCTATTGCGACTAGCTAGTGTGTCCGATGAATACACCTAATATTCGAATAAAAAATGAATGAAAATACTCATTTGAATACATTTCTTTTTTATTCGTTAAGAAACGAATTTACGCGATTACACCGTACGCTTAAGTCCGCGACTTATACGATGGGCGTCCTTGTTTAATCTATAGATTAAACAAAGACATTTCTATTGAAAATAAATAATAAATCTCGGAATTTAATGTCCACAAACTAATAATGAACGTCGCGCCCAAGATATCCTATAAAATATTTATAACATACTGTCATATAATCGGAATTACATCGAAATGTGCATAGCGTTCTATCAAATAGATAGATTTATAAATAAAAAAATGTATATGTTTTTTTTTTAATATTTTTCAAAGTTTCTAAATTTCCTTTATAAAATTTGAATATTACAATACAGACAAAAATAAATAAAATTCATTTTTTTTTTACTTAAAGTCATCAAAGTACCGATTATAATTAAGAGGTAACGATTGTTTATTGGAGCTTTTTTTTTTTCAATTTATATTTTGAATAAATATGAATACTCGTTAAATATTCATAATTTTTTTGTGAATAAATATTTTTTGAAAACTCAAAATTTTGAATAAATATATGATTACATTTTTTTTATGTGAAAATTTTAAATAGATATTCAATTTAGAGCTCAATTAGAAATTTTTGTATTCATCGGGCATATTACGACTAGCGTGATATACATATACGCGGATTTCCGCGAGGAGAAATAGAACGTGCGTTGCCCTCCCGTCCACGGTGGAGCCCGTGGAGGAGAGGTGGACTCTCGAAGAATTTGGCCCATGCCAGCAATGCAGTGAAAGTAGTATATGTATCTCCCGCGTTATTGATAAGGCTACCAGATAAGGCTCGCGTGCGCGAATTCCAGTGTGACGGTAATGAGCGCGAATTGGTACGAAACCGCTCCACTTCGAATAGTGATATTATCTCCTTTACGCTTTTGCGCGCCTTATATTTATCGCGCGTAAATTGTTTATTCAAGGAAATTGCAAATTGATCCGTGACAAATCTCCGCGCGGGCGGATTAGAATAACGACCTTTTAATCGATGATTGCTGTCGGCTTACGTACTTTCGGAGTTGTCGATAACAACCTATGCCTTCTAGATATATGCTGGCGAAGAAAGGAGAAACCGGGGTGAAATGGTTTGCCTAGCGGTGAAGAGAAAAAAAGGGACGGATGTGGAAGAGAGAGAGAGAGAGAGAGAGAGGAGGGGGGGTGGGGGAGAGAGAGGAGAGATTAGCGTGGGGAAGATTGACCGATCGCGTTCTCTTGAGAGTGAACTCGAGTTTGTAATCGGTGGAAGAGGACTGAGAAGCAGAGCGGGAGGAACCGGCGACGGGGAGACGGACGCCACAGTTTAGCGCCATGGCGCCGGCTATATTACCGCATGGCGTCACTTCGATTAAGCCGTGCAATCTAAATGTAAATATTAGCATACGTAATGATCGGGCATAAAGCGCGCGATGGGAATAAGAATAGATGGGCGGACGGGACGGGCAGAAGAAAGATAAAGATGGAAGATGGAAGAGTGATCGCGGTAGTGGAAGCAAAGATCCATTCAGTGAGACCGGCCGCGGCGCGGCGGCGCGCGATACTCAGGAATGAGCGTAAATCTTTTCTTTTCTATTCTTTCTTTTCTTTCTTTTTATTTTATTCTGCGTCATTTGTACATGTTCGTTCGATTCGTTTCTTTTGATTGGTTCCGAGTGTCTGTAAACAGAGACGGGGTCGTCGTTTCGTTAAATTTTTACGGTTGCTTATCGCGCGGCTATTGCCAATGCAACGGGAGAGGCGCGCATATTATCAATTAGGTTAATATGACACTTTTGATAAAGCGCTCGTTGTCGCCACAATTCTGCTGTCCGTGCCACGAGGGGATCAACGATGACAGAGCGACGAGGACACAGCGAATCATTTTTGATAATCGCACCGCTCTTTCGACGCCAATTGCGCCACTCCCGCGTCGCTCGTTTATTCTCATAGAACGTTCGCGCATTAATATCACGTGCGCATTAAAGTTTATTTTCTGCACGACTCGCTTGTACAGTATACACTCATCACCCTATACACTCGTCATAATAATCATTGCCGTCAGCCGTCATTGTCGTCGTAGCTGTCGCCGTTGTCTGTCTGATAGGGGCTCGTTGCCCCTACTGATGAAAGGTGAAACTGACCGCAATTAGCAACGCCTGCCTTTTACGCTCCACGAGGAAACATAACTGCGACCCTTGAGCCTGTCGATTGGATCGTCGCATCGATTCTCATTCGCATTGGTTCTCGTCGGTTCTCATCTCGGTCGTGATAGACGACCGAAAGTCGGTCTCGTCTCGGACTCTTCTCGGCAATGCAAGAAGCAAATTAGATATCTTATAGGCGTCTGGAATCAGAAGATGAAACGAAACTCTCGAATTTAGATTCAGATTATCCTGGAAATAAAAAGGGTGAAAGCGAGACAAAGAAATAAGAGTTCTAATAGAGCGCAAGAATACAGCTTTACGAGCGAGATTATCCGCGATCTCCGCCGTTCGTCCAAAGTTCATGACACATTTATATCTCTCTCCTCGAATGACTCTTAATCCTGAGTAACGGTCGTCTTTCGATCCGAAACTGTGTTATGCTTAAGATGGCGACTCTCGATAGTACAATCGCCAACATATTTGTTAGATGACGCGCGTTATCCTTTTTGGCCGCGAAAAAGCGAAACTCAACATCGTGGCCTTGTAAATCCACGTCACCATTGTCGCAAAACATCGCGAAACAAATTTAAAGCTCAACGAGAGAAAGGGAAAAAAGGAAGATGGACAAATCAACCTATCCGCAAAACGAAAATGGAAAGGAGATGCAAAAAAAAAAAATAAACGCGCGGTAGGTGGGTTCAATTAATCGTCGTAATTAACCGTATTATCGGTCATATCCGTCTTTCTCTGATATTAATGGCGCGACAGAGCGGCGACCATCGGTCGTCATAGATCCGATTAGGCAGGCGGAAACGGTTTAGTTAGTAACTGGTCGGCACTCGGCCGTCGGGTGAGGCGTGCTCAGGCGTGCTGTACGTTTTGCGCGCGGCAATTAACGTCTCCGTGGCGCTGAACCGGCGCGGTATGCGCCATAAAAGTAGCATTCAAAGTAGCGGCGGTTGGCGCCAGCCGACTCTTTTCCTACCGCGCGCAGGCATACTTTATGGTCGGTGCACATGCCACCAGTGCCACCACCGGCCGCTGAATCGGCGATTCAATGGGGATCGGGGATCGACGATCGACGATCGACGATCGACCGGTTATTTTTATTTTTACACCCGTCTCGAAGGAGAAACGCTCGGGGAATGGTGAGAATGGTGGGAATGGTGGATAGGGGAGAAACCACCGTCACTATATGCGCTCGATGCTCGATGCAAAGTGCAAAGGACTCGCCAATCGCCAATCGCCAATCGCCATTCTCCTGCGCGCGGCGTCAGGGACGTGAGGAGTTTTATCCTCCTGAGAGAGAGTCCCTATAGAATATACATTTGGCTTTATATCGCGCGTGAGTTACGTCGCATTAATTCCGACGTATAATATAATTTACATGCCCTCTCAAGGATATTCTTTTGTTATTATTCTAATATATTTTATGAATTATTAACATCCAGTTTTGAAATGGAACAAATAGCGCAGATCGTGAAACCTGGCTGAGAAAACTTTTAATAATCCTATAATATTAAGGAGTTTCGTAATTGGTCTTTTTCGCGAACGTAAATTACTGTGCATTGAACGACCGGAAAGATTGTACAATCGAGCGGTCAAATACCCGCGTTTACGACGGAATAAATCTTTTGTTGCAGACGCAGACATAGCGCAGGATCTGCCAGCGCAATTGACTTCTGAGGAAGAGGAGCGGAGCCTGAAACGTAAGATTTTTACACATTTTTGTTAGAGTTTTATATGCATGTGCATAT